GACAAAGTAGTCCGTGTGACATCAGTGGTTCAACTGTAAAGTTACGAAGCTACGAGAATACTTTTTTTGCACGAAGAAAACAAAAAGAATGACTTTATTCCACATTTTCGTCTCTACTGCGTCACTTTGGACTCGTGTTCACGACAGTATCATTTTTTCGTTATTTTTGTTTTCTTTGCGCAAAAAAGTATTCTCGTAGCTTCGTAACTTTACAGTTCAACCACTGATGTCACACGGACTACTTTGTCGATCATCTTGGTACTTTTCTGGACCTTGAACGTGGTAGTTACTTTGCTGTCTATGGGAGGGTCAGAGAGCCCTCAGATTTCATCAAAAATATCTTAAATTGTGAGTAATTAATGACAGAATTTTCATTTTTGGGTGAACTAAACCTTTAACTGCCATTTTACATATTTAAAGGGACAGTCCACTCAAAAAAAAGAAAAGACAATTCAGTCATCATTTATTTACCCTCACTGTCATTCCAAATGTTGTCTTCTGTGGAATGTAAAAGAAGATATTTTGAATAATGTTGCTAACCAAACAGTTTTGGTTCCCATTAACTTGCATTGTATTTTTGTCAGTGGGAACTAAAACTGGTTACCAACTTTCTTCAAAATATCTTCTTTTACATACAGATTTGGAATGACATGAAAGTGAGTACAATTCTATTTTTTGGGTGGACTATGCCTTTAAGTGGATTGAATGCAATGAAACTGAGTTTTGACAGAATGTTCAAGAATTGTGTTACATAAGCTCATTTTAATTAAGTAAACTGAACAAGCAGCAAATATAATTTTGTTAAGTGTAAAAGAGGCTGAACTTTTCTGACCTTTCAGCCGTATGGGACAGATGCAGCACGACAGATTGCCGGGAATGTGAGGAACATTTTCGAAGCGAGAAGGGGAGCAAGAGAGAAGGAGAAAGACCATGGCCCTTCCAGCCCTAGAGAGAGCAGAAAACAGGACAAGGTTAATGTACTATGACAGACAGGAGCCAACAACTCTCTTTAATGTTGTCCCGTTAGGACGCCCCCGGTGCAAGCATCTTTCGTATCCTTTAGGAGCCTCTCTGCCAACAACTGGTGGGGGAGAGAGCTGCGGACCAGCTGCCAAACATGACATTTGCTGGCGAGGGCCACTGAACCCCAGCAGGTGACATCTGTGAAACAGCCTTTGCAGCCTTTCATCCCCCGTGCCTGGCAGTGGAAGGGTACCTGCGCGAGGCCCCGGAGAGGGATAGATGAATGTGCTCCGTCTCTCTCCCCCAGCTGGGGCTCCGCATAGCCACAGGGCCGTGGTGGCCCACGCTCCCTGGCTTCCAGAGGCAACATCTGCACCCACTGTTGCCTTTGTCCCCATCAGCAACCGATAACACGTACGTCACGGCCTTCCAGCCCAATTTAAACGGGCTGATCATTACAGGGATGAATAAATACTATCATCATGAGAGGTTATTGCTTCATATCAGCTGTTTGATCAAATATGTATAACCGAGCTGGGCGTCTATGAGACGAATATCAAGCGCTGCCCGATCATGTGCTGCCACGGTGATTTATAGGGAAAGTAGTTCGCAGCGGATCAGAAAAATATTTCATTTAACAGCCGCTGACATTGACGAGGATGTTAAGACCTAATAATCAAGGTGCTTTGCAACTTTATGTCTTGAAGGAATAATGGAGTAAAAATGGCTTTTTCGTAATGCCTTTCAATGCACATTCTTTTGATTAATTGCAGCTCCTTATCGTCATATTAAAATGAAGTCACATTTATTTATATAACGCTTTATACAATACAGATTGTTTCAAAGATGTTTCACAGAAAATTAACAGTGTTAATGTTGTAAAATTCTTCAATTTTGAAACAAATTCCCTTTCATCTATAAAGCAGCTCTTTGGAAGATAATAGTGTCAATATTCAGCTCAGTTTAGTTCAGTGTTTTTTTTTTCAGTTGTTCAGTAACTACCAATATTGCAAGTTCAATTCAGTTCAGTACAGCAGAAAATAGTGTAATTATGCAGCTCAAGTCACTTCAGTGTTGATTCAATTCAGTTCAGTGATCTCAATGTTGTAAAGTTAGTGCTTTTGGTTATTGAAGACTCTTGATTCTTGAAAATATATATTAAATGAAAATTTGCATTATAAGGTATTATGAAAAGCTTTAGAATGGAATAAGTCATGATAGGCCATGCATTACAGAGATTTTATGGGTGAGGAGTGTTCTTGGGCATGTGGTAAAAGAAGTGTGGGCACATATAACGGTTTTATAAAACATTTGCAATATGATAAAAGACGCCAATGTTAAATTCAATACTGATAATCAGAACTTATCTACAAAGCAATATAGTCCATTTGCCTAACAGTAGGTTGTTTATGGCTGCTAAGCAATATAGCAAAATGGTGCATTAATATAAAATGCATGGTAAAAATATAATGACCTTGAACAAGCATCACATAGGTATTTACCAAAAATTATTTTGTTTGTGTGTGCATTGGGGGAGGGCTGGGTGGTTTGTAATCAGTAATCAATTACAACAAGTCTAGCATCATTTGTACCTGCTTCCATTTTAGTGTAGTTGTTTTTGCTCAGCAACTTTAAATGAATGCTAATTACCCTGACACCGGTGCTCTGGCCCCGTGTCTCTGATGTCACTCAGTCTCCACGAGTTCCTGACAGCATTTCTTCCAAATGTGCTCGTAATTGGCAACCCATGGTGAACTGACACACAATTAAATCCAATTCTCATCATGCAGCCTTTACATTGGGTCAAGTTTAGAAACCATTATACAAATTGAGGGCAGACATTTACTAAGCATTTCATAGTCCTTGAGGGTCTTTGTAGAGTCAAATTTACTAATTATTGTGATGGCCCGTTGGCTATTTTCACAAAAACATATCTACAGTAGGTCACTCCACAAAAAAAAAGAAGAAGAAAAAAAGAAGTTTTCTTTTTAATTAAAAATAAGCTTTTTTTTTTTTTAAATAGGAACATTAATATTTTATGCATTAATATTGTATCCGTTTTCCAAAAAGATGTTTTAATAATTGTTAGGCACATGTAACCCATAAATTCTCATTAGTGTAATGTGTGAGTGTTTTTTTTTTAATCAGCATGAATTACAGACAACAACAAATACCATTAAAGTAGAAAATATAAATAATATTGTTGTTTTTGCTCTACAGTAATGGGAATTTAAATGAAAACTGAAAGTTAAAGGTGACATATCATGAAAATCTGACTTTTCCAGGTTTTAAGTGCTATAATCAGGTCCCCGGTGCATCTGCCAACCAAGGAAACGTGAAAAAGATTAACCCAGTAACTTTGTTTTGGTAAGCCTTTTTCTGCAAGCGTCTGAAAAAGCGAGCGCGTCAGATTTCGCTCCCTTGGTGACGTGGCAAAGGGATCTCATTATAATATTACCGCCCCTTAATCTGTAAGTTTCCACCCACAGCGCCGTCAATGTGATTTCGCAAGCGACAACGGTGTACCAACTCTAATGCCATGGCGAAAGTTTGAGCAAAACATGCTAACTGTTCTGTCTTTGGCTGCACAGACGAGCGCACAGAACACTATTTACAGTCCGAGCCTCAGAGGAGACAACAGAGCAGTGGATTTATTGATTTATTTACTGTATATTGCTGCTGCCACACAGATCTAAAATAAACAAGCGATTTATTTCCCAGCAGTTTACCTTCACAGACATAACCGACTGTCTTTGTAACTCATGTGTGTTTTTAACGTAAACTTGTGTGTGAATGAGAACTTAGTTTAGTACTCACATGCTGTGACAGCCGCTTTCTGTCCATGTGCACTCAGAAAACCGTATATCAGAAGTTTAAACTAATATGGTTTAAAACGCATGATTTCAGCACGATAAACATGATAATCAGAACCAAAACACATGTTTTTAGCAGGTCCCGAGCTGTAATGGCGCAGCTCTATTCTGGAAAAGGGGGCGGGGAGCAGCAGCTCATTTGCATTTAAAGAAACAGGCCCAAAAAACAGCTTATATCTGCTTCCACTCAAAATAGACATTTTCAAAATGTTATAATAAATGATCTGTGGAGTATTTTGAGCTGAAACTTCACAGACACATTCTGGGGACACCAGAGACTTATATCACATATTGTAAAAAGGGACATAATATGTCTCTTTTAAATGAAAACTGAAAACTTAATTGCCATGAAAATGTATGTTCACTGTACCTTATTAAAAATGTTTATCTATAATCATCTATAAAAAAGCAAAACTTAACACAATTGGTTATCTTATTTCTGCAGTTTTAAGTCAAATTTAATAATTATTCTGATGGCCTGTTGATAATTTCTATGTGAATCTCACAAATCATATCCAGGTCACTCCAATATAAGAAGGACAACAAAATAAGAAGGAAAACAGGCCTTTTTATAGGACAACTAATATTTTTGCATTCCATTTTCCAGGAAGATTTTTCAATAATAGTTAATGATACATCTAACCTGTGCATTCTCATTACCATAAAATTTGAGTTTTTATTTATTTTTTGTCGCTGTTGTTTTAGCTTTAAAGTAATGGGAATGTAAATGAAAACTGTGCTTAACTGTCATTAAAATGTAGTTTTCAAAATAACAATTTTTACTTTATTTTTTGGGGTGAGACATGAGCAGGACATTTTGTAAGAATCACCTGTATATCTTCTTAAAATATTCAGAATCATCTATAGCAGTGGTTCTCAATTCCAGTCCTGGGGTACCACTGCTCTGCACATTTTGTATGTCTCTCTTATCTGACACCCTTGGTTCAGTTCATGGATCTCCCTCCTAACGAGCTGATGATCTGAATTAGGTGTGTTAAATAAGGAACACATACAAAATGTGCAGAGCAGTGGTACCCCAGGACTGGAATTAAGAACCACTGATCTATAGCCATGACCGTCATATTGAGGTGCAGGGCCGGTTCTAGACATTAGGAGGCCCTAGGCAAAATTCATGTTGCCCCACCCCCACCCCCAATAAAAAGCACTTGAAACAAATATGATTCCTAACCTTTTTACTTATACAACATTTAATATTAAGTTTTGTATATTTTTACTTATACGGTACAAAAATTTGGAAACATTGCTATTTTAAATGTTTTTGAAAGAAGTCTCTTATGCTCATCAAGCGTGGATTTAGCCTATCTGATCAAAAATACAGAAAAAAAACAATAATATTGTGCAATATTATTAAAAATTAAAATAATGGTTTTCTATTTTACTATGCTTTAAAATATAGGCCTATTTCTGTGATGCAAAACTGAATTTTCTTCAGCCATTACTCCAGTCTTCAGTGTCACATGATCCTACATAAATCATTCTATTATGCTGATTTATTATCAATGTTAGAAACAGTGCTTAATGTTTATTTTATAACCTGTGATATACTTTTTTCAGGATTTTTTTGATTGTTAAATCTTTTATAACAATATGAGTCTTTACTATCACTTTTTATCTATTTACACATCCTTGCCGAATATTACTGTTTTTTTCTCTGTATTTCTGATCAAATAAATGCAGGCTTGATGAGCATAAGACATTTCTTTCAAAAACATTAAAAATAGTAATGGGTCCAAACTTTTGACTGGTAATGTATGTACATATTAATCTAACTTTATCTAAGGTAATCTCTTTTTTGTTTGTTGAGGATGTTATTATAACCACCACAATTGTATTATTATTATATTATTACGCAGTAATTTATTCAAAGTTCCTGAATACCACTTCAGTAAACATCAGTGCTTTTATAATTTCTTAGCTGGGTATGGGCAGGATTTCCCCCTCCCATCTATTGATTACAGATATTGTCATTTTATTATTATTAATAATATGATATTATGTTTTGCATTGTTACCTTAAATATGAAACTGAAACTGAAATTAAATGTTATGTTAGAGCAGTAGGCCTAATGTAATCATCAGCAGAATTTAG